CTTGATTAAAATAAATAAAATGATAAAGTTTTATATAATTTTCTGTAATAATTTACTTGATTTTGCAATAATACAATTTATTGAATAATGCAAGAAAAGTTCTAGCTAGCACCGAGTGCATCTATAAGTAAATACAGCTCTGATGCGCTTAGTTACGTAATAGTCCGTAGCGTACTGTCATGCATGCGTAACGGCTATGCCGTACACGTGTGCTTTTAACGTGTACTTTCGTCATTTTGTGTGAGATGATCTGATTTGATTTTTTTTTGTCATGAATCATCATAAATTAAAATACATGAATATTATGTATATAAATAAACTTTTATAAAAACGATTATTCGCGTACTTGGTGTTTGAATAACTAATTGTAAGTAACAAACTACCGGAAATATGTCGCTAGTTATCGAATTGTTAAATTTTGTAATTATTATAATTATTGCTATTATTTAACTAATCCTTCTATCACTTTTCATTCTTCTCGCTTAATATGCTCATCTTATTCTGAATTTTATTATAAAAGCATGAAGTTGTTTATAAACAAAAATATAATAAATGTACCGCGATAAAACTTTCGCGCATTTCTTCGTTATTGTTCATTTATATTTAAAATATATAAAATACAAATATATGTTAGCTAGAATATGCGTTTTCCATATCTATATCATACCGAAACTCTCGATTTGTGTTTATTATTATTTATTATCTTATGTAAGTAGTAAATTTACTACTTTGCAGTGTCACAAAATAGCATTAAATTGTTTATCATTATAACCCATACACACGTGTCCTAGATAACAGTCAGAAAATCTACTATATGACTAACATTTTAAAACTGCATTAAAAGTTACGCAATGATACGTGTTCGAGAAGTTATACGTGCTTGAAAAAATTACAAACTAAAGAGGTAAGCTTGAATAATATAAATAATATAAATAGTGATTAGTGAATGTGCATAAAAATGCTGTAATAAAAAATTTTTTTTATCGAAGCATAAATTACATTACAATTTCTTTTACGCACGTATTGAGTACAATGCAGTTCTTTTTTTTTGGAAAAGATTATAATTTTCAATCTCATGACAAAAAAGACTTTATATTTGATATCCTATAAAAAAAAATAAATTTGTGTAAATGTAACAAAAATCACCTCGTCATAAGAGAAAGTTATGCGTTATTGTCCCATGTATATCTAGAAATATCGCAGATAAGCAGTGTTATCAGAATAAGGAAATATTCTGCAAGAATTAAAAATAGTGCTAGCAAACGAGGATCAGAGGCTAAAACTGGTTGTTTGTTGCTTGTTTTTCTGCTTTATTTATTTCATGAACAAACGTTTCGGTCAATACATCTGATCATCTTCAGTGTGAATGATATTTACAATATGTATGATTACTTATGCTCCAACTTGTGGAAACATGATTTTAGATGTTATATTATGTCTTTTATAGTCAATCTTTGAGAATGTGGAACGAGATCGCACCTGGATGTTTTCCACGTGTTTTAATCGAATTGTTGCGACTGTCACTGCACGTGGAAAACATCAAGATGGGATCTCGTTCCACATTCTCAAAGATCGACTATAAAAGACGTAATTAATATAATATCTAAAATCATGCTTACACAAGTTGAAGCATAAGTAATCATACATATTGTAAATATCATTCACACTGAAGATGATCAGATGTATTGACCGAAACGTTTGTTCATGGAATAAAACAAAAAAAAACAAGCTAGCTTCAGCCTTCAATCAACAGCTAGCTTTAGCCTTTGATCCTTGTTTGTTAACTAAATTATTTTTTTATAAACGTTTTTTTAAATGCATCTTATTTTCTGCATTCAAAGAGATGACTATATTTTCTATTTAAACGAGAATAGAAAAAGTCAAGTAAAACAACAAAATTTAAATAAAAAATATTTAATATAAATTTATTATAAAAGAGATTAGTGTAAAATGCATTGTAATAAAATAAAATGCTTACTGAAACAAATTTTTTAATACCAGCATTTATCTTAAAAATTTCCCACCGAATACCGCTGCTGATAACACTTGATAACACTGCGCATGTGCGTTAGAGCGGACTTGTTCGCGCGTAGGTAATCACAAACCTAGGATGCCTTGTGCTATCTCGGCTCTGCTCTATTGGCACTGTTCGGCCGATTAGTCAGCCGGCCGGCCGTCCAATTATTCGTACGGCATGCGCGCGGCAGTGAGGCTTCTTTTGCCGGCTTTCGTTTACGACCATCGCTCATTAACTGCCGGTTATCTGCGAGCAAGGTCCACCAGCGCCTCGGTCTGAGCCGTCGTCAGTATAACTTGCCTACGCCAATTCTATCGAAGACCTCTATCTGATAATCACGCACGCAACAATGCTGCATCTCTTCGAAAATATTCTGTACATCCCAAAGCTGTATTATGGTGCACTGCTGGGCATTGGCTTCTGTATCTATTATCTCTGCGAGGTCGTTAAGGTGAGTAAAGATAGCAAAATGTACGTTAAAATCACTTGAACTTTTCGCGCCACTAATTACTAATCCTGTTCGGCAAAAGTTGTTACGTCACGAGATAAATTTCGAAAATAATCAGAACTTCCGGCTAATCGCGATAAGGAAATCGCGTCTATCAAGGAAGTTTGGATAATTTAGCGTATTTTAATGTTGTATGACACATAACTTTGCAATATAACGTTTATCAAAAAATTAACTATGCACATATCGCGCAAATTACGTATATCCGTTTTCCGGTGAACAAAAACTTCACCTTTAATTTAAATACAATTACCGTAATAAATTAAACATGAATGAGCAGCAAAGATACATAAATACATCGACTTTTATACCATCTTTGAGCGACAGTTAAATAATCAAAAATAATGCTGCATGTACATAGTGGTTTGATGAAATAATTATATGAGTGCATTGCTTCATTATCATAAAACATGGCAAAGTGACGTTCACTGTTTATGCGTCTTTGCATGGTATCGTAATTGCACACGGAAAAAAAAATTTTTACTATTGTAAATCATCGTCGTATATTGGATGTGACAGCAACAAATTTTCGCTATCATAACTAATTTTTCAGATTATTCAATATATTGGCAAAATTTGTTTTATTGGTAGAATAGACAAATTTTACTCATATTTATTCCAGCAATTTCTTTTCCGTGCAGGCACGTGTACATTTACGTCAAACATATTAACATTTTAAATTAAAATTTGAATAATCGCGAATCAAACTGATCGTATTTAAATGGCATTCATATATTTATTCAAAGTTATTCAAAATTTCTTATTCTTATTTTTCATATTCAAAAGTGTATTGGACAATGTATTGTCCGTGAACAAAGTGTTCACGGTTTCTTAATAAATAAGAATGCTAAACTTAGTATTTAAATTGTTGAAAAATGAAACAAGAAGTTGAAAGCACAATAAATTATACAATATTAAATTAATACATAAAAAACAGTTTTGTATTTTTTATTCAATAATCATGATACACAAATAGCTAAATACGATATGTTTGATCCGGAAGAATCACCAAAAATATAAGCAACATTAAATGTACGTACATAAAACTATTTTCCAAAGCGTGAGAATAATTACGTTTTGATAGAGTAAGATCCCTTGACATCGACACCAAACAACAGAAAGTTGTTTCGCACTTAATAATGCGTGAAGAATCGATGAATCTATCTACACGCAATAAATTCTAAAATGGGGTGACTTATCGTTATCCCTCATAAACGCGCGCGACGCATTCTCCGACTCAGAGCTGGAGCAATACAGTTAAGTAGTGTCAGCTAACAGCAGCTTTTATATGCATCAACATTTATTTGCCCTGAATAGAGAACTAATCTTTACGCGAAATTAAATAATTTGCCTGTCCGTAAACTTGACGACTCGATTGTACGACATTACGTGGTCTGACAACGAAATTCGTGGACAAAACTTATTGAAATTGAAACAAAATTTATTTATTCAAATTAATATTACCGCAACACACACAACACACATAATAAAGAGATTTGATTCCACTTTTACTCTTACTTTTACTTAATATCATCTTCTTCAAAGAAAGATTTTTCATCTTACTCCAAGAAGTTCTTGAAATTCTCTTTGATTAAAGTACAGTCAATCACGATATCAGTTAAAAGCTTTTTAACATAACAAACATTTATATCGTTTGAAAACAACAGCGTCATTGTTTCTGTTATTGTATACTTTATTGCATCTCCAGTGTCTTCAAGTACAAAAAAGTTTGTCTGCGAATTTAATCGGTACGGACGAAAATAGACACTATCCGAATATGTTACAATGCTATTAGTTTTAGATAAAATTCAAAAAAAGTTCGGCGGGATTTCCGCGATATACGTTTGAACTGTCGCATGACTCTCCACAGGCGACATTAGTCACGAGGAGATATGCATTTATTAATCTGACCTTAAAACTCCGAGGCATTTCCCTGCACATAAAATACGTCAGCGAATGCGCGCATGCAGGTGAAGTAACAAGCGTGAAGCAGTTATTTAATTACATTAAAAAATAATGTAATTAAATTATAGACCGTGTAATTCTAATGAAAAGGTTGTGTTCTATGTATAACAAAATAAGTTTTATAAATATATTGAAACAGTGTAACTCGTGAATAGCAGAACATTTAATATGATCGTGATATTACTAACTGATGTAATTATAGTGCAGAATTAATATCAAAATTTTGTTTATATTAAATGCATACGTACGTATTGTATAAATTTGCTGTGAATGCTTCTTAATTTGTCATAAAAAATATTAAACAAAAACAAAATGACATCATGATATGCTTTGTATCAAATGCAAATATTTAAATACCAAGTTACTAAAATTCTGCGAATTTAATCGGTACGGACGAAAATAGACACTATCCGATTTTTATTAATTCGCGGATAAAAGTAAAGTCAACGGTCTTAGTACGAGATAAAAGCAAAGCACTTGTTTAAAGACATGAATGAAAAGCATTTTCTATATTCATGAATAATTTTTTGCCTTCTGTACGAAACAGTCATCTTGTACTTTGAAATATGATCGACTTCGTAATAACAAATAATCCGTTATCAAATAACTAGTAGAAATCATTACTTTTTTCTTCTATATTTAGAAATATTTCAATTTTAAACATAAATAAATATTTCAAGTATCTTCATTAATATTTCGCTAATAAATATTTCCTTCGATAAGTAAGAATAGAAGACTTTGGTTTACAAATATGACCCATTGAAACTCTCATTAATTACACCCTTTATATTAATGAAATCAATAACAAGTGATGCATTAATGAGAATTAATTGTATA